CTTCCAGATCATCTCGCCTGAATATGGCTTGAGAGAGGATGCAGTTATATGATACGTACTGACACATAGAGACAATCTTCCCTCGGCACCCCTAGCTCACCCTACGTGTACAACTGTAGTTAGTCATCTTAGGTAACCGGCTTTGGTATTAGTGTCAAGAATGTTGGAAGGGCCAATATGTTTTCATATATAAGTCCGTAATCCTGCCTATCTGGAAAAAAAGGGGTAAGTAAGGGAAGGGTTGACAGCTTCCTTCCTTCCTGTTCGAGTGGCCCAAAATTTCGCCCGGTAGTACGTAAATAAGTAGTTATCAAGTATCCATTCCATCGGATTTGCGGAAGTGGGCTTGCTTGCTTGCTTGTGAAAGGGGCTGGCTGAATACGATGGCAGAAACATATGAATGAATGGACGGACGGGCGTCGGTTTGGTATTGGATGGATGAGAGAGAAAGAAGGTCTTGAGAATGGGAGGGTTTGGATTCGTTATGCTCGGTGAATACCTGTGCTTACAGAGTACCCTAGATTAGCTTCTCTGCGGCAGGGCGATGCTGTGAGCAGTAACCTAACCTGAGGGGTTACATATGGGCTGAAAAGGGGAGTGAGTCTCTACCCACAAATATCCAAGTCATAAACAACCCCTTAGGTTACTTTCTATCTATCACAGTAAAACAACGTCACTTGAATCTTGTGAGCAACTCTTCGAAAGCAATTACAATGGGTTGGTTTATACGCTTCAAACACATCTGTACTTATTAGTCTAAGTGTGCCGAGCCCGCTGAGATGTCGATAGTGATTCGCAATAATCTCGTCCCTTTAATCATTCTGTCCACCCGCCCGACTTGGAGGTGATGCACCGCCTCCTGTCACCGCTGTTGGTGATGGCGTTGGCGCTGGCGATGGCCTCAGACGGATATCCGCCTTTAACACCACGGCAGCAACACCCCGTGCACCGGCCGCGATAATCTCGGGACGGTCCCAGGCCAGGAAACCTGGCTTTCCGCTCAAGCGTTGCGTGTATAGCACGTCGTACTCTGCCCGGGCCCAACTGGGGCAAGTATAAGGCACCTGCCCACGACTGGCCGGCCTGTCTCTTGTTCCTGAGGATCCCCCACGGCTCTTCACCTGCGAGCGGTCTTCATCTTCGCCCAGAAACACCGTCATCCCCACACGCGGCCGGCTGTTAGCTTTCTTTGGGACTTTCTCCCGGAATTGGAGGCAGTAGCCCCAGAAACGCACTGCGAATTCTGGGCCTTTGAACCATCCGACCTGCGTGAAGTGGATAATCTCCATTGGTGTGAATTCTCTATCGGGCGCCATCAGGCGGAGTAGACGTAAGACAAACACCAAGAGAGCTAGTGGTGAATCGCACAGAGCATGAGCCAAGGTATTCGGCGCCAGGGCCAGCTCGTCGACACCAACGTGTGGCGTCGAACTCAAAATCTGGGGCGTGGTTGCCTGACTATGCCGCTCATAAGCTTCAAAGTCTTCGGCACAGTACCCCGATATCGGAACTCTGAACGATTTCGCAAGGGTCCATTTCGCCCATCCAAGAGGCGACTTCTTGAGCTGAGGCCGGGGAAAGATGGGCGAGATGAAGTGAGTGCCGAGGCATGAGTGAGGGTACTGCGTGGAAAGCCATTCGGCAATTTTAAAGTCGATTTGAGCGGGCGAAGAAGCACCGCATCCGGCATTCGATGCTAGATAAAATGGATAGTTTAGACGCTGCATGAGTGCGTCCAGCAAGAAGGCTGTAGAGGATATAACTGCGGTATCTGTGGGCAGCGGATCGCTGAATCCCGAGCCCGGTAAGGAAGGAATAACAAGATGGAAAGGTTGATCGTTCGCCGGGTCTTCTGGTTCTGTGAATAGTTGGATTAAATGTCCCATGAGCAGGCTCGGGAAAGGGAATGGAGGTATCAGTAGAAGAGGGACAGCATCTGGGTGAGGGGAACGAGCATGGAGAAATTGAATCCTGATAGCTGGTGTGATCTGGGGCATAATGAAACCAGTCCGGAACTGGGGTAGATCGTTCATGACAGCCTCCTGCTCCCTCCATCGGTATTGCTCAACCCTGGGTACACAGTCAGCATGCACTTTGTTTATTCTCCCCGGGACAATAAACATCATCAACTCACCAAAAGTCAATCAGGGGGTCAACCTCGCCAGTGCTCGGCCACCAGTCGTTCAGCTCCGGCTCGCTGAACTCGCGAGGCGTTCTTACGGTCTCAAGCTTCCTCTTAGTGAGATCGAGATATTGAGAAGAGATCTGGAAGGGGTCCAAAGAGCGTTAGCCGAGCGCTTCTCTGCGCGGCATACCGATATCGAGATATGCCTGCCTGGATGTCATGAGGCTATGCTGGGGACTTACATGTACTCTGTACGCTGTGACTTCTTCAATCGAGGCCGGGCTAGCGGCCAATCCAGCAGAATCTTCATCGTGGTTAGACATCATGCATAGGTAGGCATGTGCGTCCAGGTGCGCCGTAGATAATTTAAAACTCTTGGAAGAAGCAAGTCAACCAAAACTGAATATTATGATGATTCCTTCTACAAAAAAATAGTAATACCAGGCCGTGGCAGCGTATTGTGTTGAACTCCAATGGAAGCGTGGTCTAGTGAAGGGAAGGATAATTATTAAGCTGCACGTTGTAAAGAGAGGTCTAGAAAATAATCAAGCAAGTGTTCAATGCAAGTTTAGTATGGTATCATGTTAGAGAAAGAAGATACAGCAGTAGAGCTCTAGCTGTGAGGTAATTAACAAGCAGCCATCCGGTCCCATGTTGCCGCACTCCGAGGAAACAGCAGAACACATCTCATTAAATTTAAGCATCATCTACTGCTGTAAAAGGGTCCGAAAAGGAACCCTGGATGGACTTAGAAGTTGGAACTTGGAAGGGCCCAAGGCGCCAACTTGGCAGCAGGAAGCAAGGGAAACGGCAAGTACCAGGGACGTCTCGGTGGCTTGACTCAGTGTGGCTAGGGCCAGATCGTAAATTTACCTCGAAACGGGTTAGCACTAAGCTGAAAACAGGGCAGAAGCAAGGTTTCGACGGTGCAAGTCGTGCCGCCAGCCAATCGTAACTGCCAGCGGCCTCGTGTACGGCCCTTGCCGGGAGATTTGATGGTGATCAGGGTCTCTGGGCCCACGCGTCTGACCAACAGAGAACAGGGGCCGCAGAAATCGCAGGTGCCAATAACAAGTTTTGACAGAAGAGACCAGAGGTTGGTTGCGAAGTTGGCTTGCATGTGTCCCAGACTCCCCATCCAGGCGATAAGAGCAGCAGGTCGTCCGTCCATAGACTGAATCGTGTTGCACTGTGGTGAGAACCTCTGCGACACGGATGATCTGCTGAAGGCGATAGAAGTCTGGAAGCGCCACACCGCCATCATTGATGCAAAGATGGTGGTGATTCCATGCAGGGTCTATACGCTAACCGGCCGCTAAAGCTGCCTCGATCAGACATGCTAAATACCTATCAAATAGGTACCTAACCTACCCAGCGAGTAGCGGCGACAAGGACCGCGCGTCCTGGCATTCATGAGTGTGGTGGCAGTCCACCAATCCCCATCTGACATTTTTTTGTTTAGATAGTCCCCCGAAACACCTATTATTATACATCATACCGAACAACCCACTGTGGCATTATACGCAAGCAGACTTTTCATTATATCAGCAAGAGTGGACCGTGGCATGAAGGCACAGGATAATGTAATTGTCGAGCGGAGCAGGTATGTATGCATTCTCTTCCCTTCTGCCTAAGCATGTGCACCAAATGGACGGTCCATTTCCAGAGGTGAGAGGTTCTGATGTTTATTGTTCATCTGTCCCGCTCCCCCCACCTCTTCTTCTTTTCTCGAAAGCAACGATGGGCAAACCTCAGGAGAGACAGTTCAGGTCGAAGACTTAACCTACTGCCGTATATCGACTGCTGAATATAGGCGATGTCCCAGCCTTGCCTGTTGTAAAATCGACAGAGGTCGCGGCTTCTTAGCCCGGCGTAGCTCTTGACGAAGACGAGAACAGGCCTGATCGCATCCACAAAGCCTCTGCTCCTAGGTTGCATCGACTGTGTATCCTACAGCAACTGTGTAGAAAGCATCTTCTCGGTGGTTGGGTGGCCGCGTGTAAACCGTCTCCCCAAGGTGAGGATATGTGCAACTGATGGGGAGCGTGTAATAAGTGGTGAAGACCTTCGTGGCCCAAACGCTCCGGTAGAGAAAAAGCTCGCCATTATCACTGAATAAATGACTTGTTTCATGGACAGAATTCACCCCAAAGAAGGGGAAACATCGACGGTCTGTATAGAAGCATCTCTCTAAACGTCTTGTGCTTCGATCTTAATGATCCCAGTTACTGTTTCCAGGCACTTACTTACATACATTCAACAAAATTCCATGAGGCTGGGTTAAAATAATCGATCACATAGCTTCCCCGGACCCACCAAACAGTTACAAATAAAAAAAGCTGTATCCTAGACTAGATTAGAGTGACTATAAGTAATTAGCTGTCTCTCTTGAGTCTTACTACAAAAACATTGATCAAGGTCCCGAGAGTGATTGAGTGCAGTTTACAGCGTATTTTGTAATAGCTACTACCTCTACCTACTAACCTGAGCAGGTATTCACCTAGCGACTGAGTGTTCTGTATTTACAAGTGTACCAAACCATCGTATAAAAACACCGCTATTTACAGGTGCTAGTGTGCTGCTGTATTGAACATGGTGGGGTTTAAAGGACTGCGGTTACCTGATAGGCGACAAGGCCGTGCTCACACCGCAACGGGTGGTGTCCTGGCTCGCCCGTGTCAAACCACGGTACAGCTGTGCAGCGGACACAACACCAAAGAGCTTGCCCGGCCAACTTGTATATGTTCTCCCACCGCTGCTCCTACCAAAAAAAAAATATACAAATATATATGAAACAATTTAAGAGAAAAGTAAGTGAAATAAAAAAAAAATTAGGAATTGAGAAAAAAGAAATGCCAGAGCACAGTTTGTATTGTACTACGAACGGGAATCGAACCCGTGGCCTCAGCATGCTTTGCTGCTCCAAGGAGAGTTTGCATGGGAAGCTGAGATGTTACCACTACACCATCGTAGTATGTCATCTTAGCTGTCAACGAACCGTTCTCGGTCTCGTCCACGCTTGCTGGCTTGGCTGTTGACGGTACCACTGGTATTCTAATATTATATAGCTTGGCTTTGTCTCCGTACGTGTGGGGTTTGTGAAACAATCCAAATCCAGTGAAGGAAGCTACTGTGGAGATGTGGAGAAGGACTGAGATGGAAATCTAAAGATTGTGTTACGTATGCTGTCCTGCTGTACAGTAGTAGTAATTGGCGAAAATGTGGGAAACGAACTGGAAGTTGGAACTCGGTGGAGCGTACGTAACCCCACCAATACTGGCTGTACCTTGTAGGTTGTATCAGCCAGAGAAGAATGACCAACACATCTTGTGTGGGGAGCTGCCTGCCTCTTACCGACATCAACATTTAGTAGCCATACATACTGATGTACACTTACCTACCTATCTACAATTTACGTTGATTGTTCACGTTCGACCAAAGCTTTACGGGCTTGTATTTTCCTATAGATCCGCGATTCTCCAAGCTTCCCCGCCGGGAGCAGTAGCCTGCAAAGTTACAGCTAGACACCTCCGTCTACTTCGCTTTACTCCCGTCTCGTTTCGCATCAAGCTAGGTTAGCAAGCTCACGATGAGCGCCGGAAAAGGAAGCGACAAGATTGAAAAAATCATCACCCGACTACAGCAACGCATTGGTGAGGGGCAATTCTACGAAGCCCAGCAGCAAACTCGCGTCGTTGCTGCACGGTACACCAAGGCAGCCAACTGGAATGCTGCCATCGATATCCTCTACAATGTCGCACAGTCTCTGCTAAAGGCCGGTCAAGGGGGCAGCGGCGGGGATCTCTGTGTCCTGCTGGTCGAGACCTATAAGCAGGCCGAGCTAAAACCCGACTCTGCCAGCAAGGGCAAACTGTTGACGTGCCTACGTCTGTTCGACAGTGAAGAACCTACGCGCAAGAAGCACATCGCCGAGATAATATCGTAGGTTTCACCTCTTGGTTCTACTCTACTTATGTATCCTACGGAGGAGGACAGGTCGAAATTAACATATAAATCCCTGCCCACAGATGGTCCTCGAAATTCGGAGAATTCCCCGCTGGCGATCCCGAGCTCCACCACGTTATCGGCTCTCTCTACGCGGAAGAGCACGAAGCTTACGATGCCGAGAAACACCTTGTATTGGGCACCAGAGACTCCGCCGAGATTCTGGCCCGCATGGAGTACGAGTGGTTCAGGGAGGACGAGGCCCATACAGCCGCCCTCTACGCCGGCCGTGCCGTGCTGCCCTACCTGATAGCAGCGAATGTCCGGGCCGCCAACACATCCTATCGTATCTTCACCAGCGCACTCACCGATGAAAAGGGGTCGCAGTTGGGCACCCAGGACGTGAGCAGCCATAGCGCCGACTTGCGCGTCTTCCCGAGCATCCCGCTGCTCAACTTCCTCGGCCTGCTTTTGCTCGCCATTCAGAAGGGAAGCCCTGAATTGTATAAACAGTTGACAGCCAAGTATGCCAGTCATCTGAAAGAGCTTGGTATGTGGGATGAGCCGCTAGAGATGATCGCCGAAATGTATTTCGGCATCACGAAGCCACGGCCGAGCAATCCTTTGATGGATATGATGAGTGGTTTCTTTGGCGGCGGCGGCGGCGCTCCTGCGGGCGGAAGCTCCAGAAAACCTGCGATTAAGCCGCCGACCTCGATGCCTGCCGCAGAGGGTCTGGATTGACCGAACCCGAAAGTGGACGGTCGGGTAGGGGGTGAATGGTAGCGAGTTGAATGCCTTCCCGTTCAGCTTCAGCGCGCCCGCACCTCGTCCCCGGGTTCGTACATCCAGTTATCTTCAGCTAATGCGGCCACCTTGGCCCTCATACTGGCCCTCAGCACCTCGAGCATTTCTGTTTCTTCATTAGCGTAAGCTATCGAAATAAGCTTGCTTTTCGATTCACCTTCGGGCTGTGCAGGACTTTGTGTGTAATTGACTTGATGATGGCGTACAGCTTCTGCTAGTCTTTGTCTCTCCCCTACATTTGCCGACTTGTTGTTAGCTGGAGTTCACACTTTCCGTGCCCGTGTTACGGAAGCAAAGTAACTGGTGATGCGCGCTTACGCTGGCTTTCCTGCATATCATCTAGAGAAGTCTCGTCACCTTGCTCCTGGAGCAGCAAGGGCGGGTCGCTCATCTCGAATTCGCCATTCTGCTCGCGAACCACGATATCGGACGAGTCGGAAAGCATACCGGCGTCTATGCGCAACGTGTCGGCCGAAGTAGAGGACGAAGATGTCATTGTGTTGGCTCTATGTCCTCCTACCCCGGTGCTGGTGCCGGTGTCCCCCGCTGGTGTAGGTCGTCGCGATATGTGGCTCTGGAATAGATTGCGTCGCACACCTGCTGTGCTCGTTGCTGCGCGTGTTACACGGTTGGTGCCCGGACGTATGTGGGCAGGCGGGGCGCGATCGGCCATGCTAGGTTAGGCAGGTTGTATTTGATGATAAGATTATGAGGGCTCGGAATGCGTTCTTGATAGGCATAAGCCAGCCAAATAAGCATATATATAATCTTGTTGGCCGTGGTGTGTCGTGTAGACAAGTAACAAGACGCATAGGAACTTGAAGGTGCCGTGAAAGCAGCAGTATTGACACTAAAGGTTGACGCAACAATCAGGCGCTGCGTAGCAATATAGGTCTAATGGTAAAATCGTAGGTTTGTGGCTTAAGTTTTATGGAAAGCTTGTGATAACAGGTGGAGGCGGAGATGTACATAATATGTATGTAAATAAATTGGGCGGGTATGTTGTTGCTGGGGTGCCGATCGGGGCCCCACCCTACCCGTGCTTTGCATTACGTACCTGAAATAGTGGGAATACCAGAGTACAGCTGTTTGTAGGTTAATGGGCATCACAGTAGAGGTCAAATTAACCTTAGAGAAATTAAAGCTGTAATATTACGACAAAGTATCTCCTTGGCCTCTCTCTAAGAGAGTCTTTGGGTGTTTTATGCTCAAATCACGCACTCTGGAAGTACAGGTGTACAGCAACAAGTACATGTATTCACCGGGTCACAGAATCTCAGCCTATCTGCAGAGACGAACATTGTCACTCACTCTTCTCAAGATCGAATTATATCCATATCATTTCGATTTGCGGCGATGTCGTCCACGGCGTTTGCAATCCAGCCAATTGGTCGTTTCTTTGGCGAAAGCGAACCGGTTAAGCGCCCCAAGGTAAGAAAGATGTTGTTTTCCTCTGGGACTCGGGAGTTTTGTATTTGCATATAGCCGTGTCCACTCTTCTCCTTTACTAACCCTGTCTGTTCTATAGGAGTTTGCATGCTTCTCCTACAATGAGAAACACGAGTTTTCCCTGGGCGACTCGTCCCTGCAATGGTATTACCCCCCTAGACTGGGCGCCGACCTATCCAAGGGGTTCGATAAGTTTGACAAGCACGATGACTCGCAAGATGAGCATCTCGACAGCCTGTTGAAGGCCATAGAAGCCCATGAGAAAGAAGAAGGCAAGAAGATAGACGCACATATCGTCACTTGGCGAGGTATGATGACCAAGGTAAGTATATCAGAATCCCCGAGCTAGGGACACCCCGACGTGGTCAAGCGTGCCTGACTATTCTCATAGATAATGGCAGCCCCATTTGACGACCGAGACGGGTACGTAGCACTCGCGCCGCTCTCTACGTATGCCGTCTAACTCTTGTGCCAATGCTAGCTTTGAAATGAATGCCACTCTATATCAAGTGGGTATCTCGGGCTCCTAGCATTCATTATAGCTCTACTGACGCGGGGGGAAGGATTGCATGTATGACTCGACGATTCCAGCTGAGGCAGAGTATAGACGGTTTGATCTGACGGAGACACAGTTTCATCGAAGAGGATCACCAATTCAAGCGAGCCTCGAAGGAGGAGCAAACAAGACAGCAGCAGGGGCGGCGGAATCAGAGGTTCTCTCCAGAACTCATGACTTTTTGGGGTGAGTCCTGAACACCTCTATTGAACTCCCGCTCCACGTTTATTGAGAATGAGTTTGAAAAACCCCAGGATACAAGTTCGAGGCGCTTTCCTGTTTACCAGCCCCATGGGGTGAGGTGAGCCGCGAGTTCATCGAGAATAGAGAGGAGCACGTTGTCAGCAACAAAGCGCAATATTGCTCGGTGGTGAGGACGGGCATAGGTAAGACGGTATTATGCCTGGGGGGCGAAGTCGACGCCAGTAAGTCCACACTCCCTCGATAGAAACCCCCAAGTCATATCACGGGGAGGCAGCCTGGACTCACGCACGTATGTGTGCCGTCCAGTATGGGATTCCAAACCGGCACAGAAGGGTGCGCCTATCAACTGGGTCGAGCTCAAGACGAGTGCGGAAATCCACGATGAGAGAGGGATGCAGAATTTCGAGCGCAAGCTCATGAAGTTCTGGATACAGTCCTTCCTCCTGGGCGTGCCCAAGATCATCGTCGGTTTCCGCTCTCAAGCCGGCATCCTTACCAAGATCGAGGAGATACAGACAGCCTCGATCCCCGACACGGCGAAGAAGCGGGGAGTCCGCAGTTGGGATGCCAATATGTGCATCAACTTTGCAAGTGCCTTCCTTGATTGTGAGTGTCTGGATGAGTTCTGTAGCGTGCGTGCATGGTCACCAGAGTGACCCCGCTAATAGAGACATAGGGCTGCGAACCGTGATTACTGATGAAGGGGTTTGGAGGATAAGGCGCCGGCCGGGTTCGCCCAGCATCGAGGTCTTTCGGGTCGAAGAAGTAGGGCATGGCCGTATCCTTACAGAAGATTTCATCAACTGGCGGATCAAGTTAAGTCTCGGTGGCCCTAGCATCACGTAATTGGTCTTAAGTTCGGTAGGCGCTGGTCGTCTATCCTTTGGCCACTCAGAAAGAAAGCTTATATTTTGCCTATGTTCTAGCTGAAGGAACAGGCACTTAAGTAACGTCTACAATACTGCAAACACCTCTAATGTACCTTCTAGCTCGTGATGCCTGCTCTCTATGGA